GGCCGCGCCGCCTCAGCCCCCAGACGGCGGCTGAGATTCCGGAGCGGGCACTCCCCGCCCGTACAGACTACAAGTCCCGGCAGGCCTCGCGCGGCTCCGTGTGGCGTGACGACCCGGGTATTGGGCATCTTCCTGGTTCCAGGGGCGGTGGCCTCAGGCTCGCCAGGGAGTGCCGCGCGTGGAGCTCTGGGCCCCTGCGCCGCGGTGCATTCTGGGATTTGTGGTTTTCGAGGACCACGGGGCTTGGCTCGGAGATGGAACTCCGGGTTCTCTGATGTCATCGCCCAGAGCTCCAAGGCACAGGGATCTTTAAAAATAGGCTTCGGTAGTTTGCAGATAATTTGTTTGCAAGCTGTCCCATAATCGGTGCAGGAGCTATAAATTCAAAAGCTGCAGTGAGACCTAGAGAAAAACGCCTTACAGCTCTGCGCGCCACTTTTTCGCTCTTAACCATGTCTTTCCACAGAAATAAAGCTCCACCTCCTCTGTGTAGTGGTGTTAATAGTACTGGGAGTAAGACAAACTTAAAAAAGGGCTAGTCGAAATTCTTTCGGGATGACTTGGGCATATGTAAGTATTATAAACACTCAAAAGGGCATAACATTTTGTTGAGCACTTACTGTATACTAAGTACCATGACAGGCAGAAGGCATACAATAAAGACACTCCTTGCCTTCCTAGAGTCTGTAGTCTATAAGGCAAGTTAGTTCTTATGCAAGCAAAATCATTACACATTTTAATGCAATGGAGATAATTAGCAAGTTTAAGAGATAGTAGCAGGGGTGGCCTCTTCGGAAAGGGTTGACAAGGAAATGATATTTGAGCCCAAATCTAAAGAATGATAAATACTCAAACATGTTAAGAACTGAGAAAAAAAATTAGATGCCACGCCTTTTACAATACCTAGCCCAGCTAGACTCTCAATAAATATTTGTTCCTTTTGTATCCTTCCTTTCCTTTTTCTGCATAGCCTTAGAGTACATCCTTCCCCTTCAAAATCTTTTTTAGAGGTTTTGCCTTAGGGTGCATGTGCTGGGGGAGGAGGAGCACAGACTCAGTGTGAGAGGGATATTTGGGGGCCAGCAGGTGGTACAGTGGTTAAGGCACATGACCACTATATCACCATGGACTTTCACATGGCCCGCTGCAGTTCAAGTCTCAGACCTGGCAGCTTGAAAATCATGCCTGTGCATGTACATGCATGCCCAAAGTCCCAGGAAGAGAATGGAGAAGGAATTGCAGCATGGCCATTCACCCTGAAGGATGATTTCTCACTTTCCTTCTCACTGTGTGTGTGTGAGTGTGTGTGTGTGTGTGTGTGTGTGTGTGTGTGTGTCTTTCCAACAAGTGCATACACCCTATGGCAAAACAACAACAACAAAAAAGAATAAAGAGGGAACCAGCAGTTAGCGTAATGGCTATGTCCCTGGACTCCCACGTAGTCGACCGCGGTTCGTGTCCCGGACCCAGTGGCTTAAAACTCACGCCGGGCGCGTGTGCGTGCGTGCCCAAGATCCCGAGAGGAGAATGGAGGAGAAGGGATTGCGTCGTGACCATCCCCCCTGGGGGGTGATTTCTCGCTTTCTGTCTCTATGTCTCTCTCTGTCTGTCTGGCAAGCGCACGCGCCCTACAGTGAAAATCTCTCTCAAAAAAAAAAAAAAAAGAATAAAGAGATTTTATGTAAAAATCCGGATGTCACCTGTCTGATCCCTCCAGGCATTTAAGCTGGCCTTCCCTGGCTAGAATGTATGGAAGAAGTCTCTAGTTTTTCAGTTCTAGAATCCTAGAAGATTCTAGATGGGATGTTTAATACATATTTAAACTTCAAAGATACTCCTCGCTTATCTGAAATTCAAATTTAAGTTTAGCATCTTTTCTTTGATCTGAAAATCCTAGTCCTGATATCTGACCTCTGAGGCAGAGAGCCTCTCACTCCTGACCTGGACCCAGAGAGAAACTTTCTCCTTATTGCTGTTACCACTTGACTGAGTGGTTGAAAATTGTTCCTTTGCTCTTTTTTTTCATAACAAACCACAAAGGTTGTTTGACAGTGTAAGCCACATTTACATACAATGTGGGAAACCAGAAAAGTGACTCAATTTGCCCAAAAGCAAACACAGTAAAGTAATCCCAGGGTTACTTACTTTGAAGTTAGGGAATAACCAGAACTTGATAGCTCCCAATCAACCAAAAAACAGAGACCTCACCCTCCAAATTTCAGCTTTTCCTCTAGCTTTTTTCTGGAAAGCAAGATTTATTATATGATACTGATTTCAGTGTTACTACGAGGGGAAAAAAAAAAGTTTGTGGAATATTCCCCTGTTGAAATTACATTCTAGAAGCAAACCAAGAGCACTCAGGACCCACTAAAGGCACTGAGGAATGCTGCCATATTCCATGGATAATTGTCATCTGAAGAAATAGGAGGAATCTGAATCTGCGGTTACATTTAAAGGATCTGCAATTTACCTACAAAACATCATTGTCACTACCATCATGCTTTACATGTAAAATATTTCGATGTTTCATTTAAAAATATTCCTTGAGGCCCTTACACATGCTGGGCTCTTATTTATCTTATTTATTTTCTGCATATCCCACTAGACTATGACCTCGATGTGGACAAGGAGTTTACCTATTCTATTCATGTTTGTACCCTAAGTGCCTAGAACAGAAATATTCAATTAATATCTAGGTGCCACAAACACACTGTATGGATGGAGTCAGGATCTGAAATGCAACAGAAGGAACAACTCTAGATGTAAACCCCTGCTCTAACTAGAAGTCAGAACCAAGGTAGAACATGAATTAAACATGAACAACTATTCTCTGAGCCCAGCTTTGTTCTTACTCTGTCTCCTCCAGAAACCTGATAACAGAGAGTTAAAAACAGCTCTTTCCTATTTTTCAGTGTAAAGATGGAACCATAGGGAGGGAGTCAGTGAGGTTACGCTCTTGAGGTTCAAGATGAGGAGACTGGCTCCCTGACCCTCCCACATACCTGGTAACAACCAAGTGATAGAAAGGATGATTCTGGGTAATT